TAGGTGCATTTCTTTAAAAAGTAGGTTGCGTAGCTTCTAATGATTTCGATAGAAAAGGCTGTATTTAATTAGAGCATTTCTCAATATCCTCCTGACAATCTGTTAGCCATATTTGTTTGTTAAAAAGCTATTCAAACTTCATTTTTAACTATACATTTCATTGGAACCAGCAACATTTATCTACTTTTTCACTGCACAGTTTATGGGACCCACTAATTTTTATTAACTTTTGTCAACACCCCACAGCTCTAGTTCAAAGGGTCTCAGTTATTCTGTGATAAGACCATGAGCTTGTTTGGTTAAGCCTACAAAAAAATAAGCTTACTTTTCTTAGAAGTAAAGACTCACTTTAATATAAGCAAATTTTGGTGCAAGTTTTCTAGAAAAGAAAAAGGAAACTTCTAAAATAGTTGAAACTTGTTTGTCAAAAAAAGTAACTTTTGAGCTTGGATATATATTTGGCCAAGTTTAAGACTTGAAAGTTACTTCTTAAGTAACTTCAGTATTTTTATGCTTAGCCAAACATGCTGTATATTTGTGAGGGTCTCTTTTATTTCATCTAGGCCTATATTTTGGGTCTTGATATTTCACTGCTATTTTGTCATAATTTCCTCTCTCTCCACCTAGGCCTTTAAATTGTTGCAAGGTACCATAGATTCATGCTTTGCGCTGTGTCTTGGTAAATTTTCTAAATAAAAGGCTCTTTAGTATATAATGTTCTCTCGTTTCCAGCAGCAGGGTCGAGCTCAAGATGGAAGAATTTTTTTTGGGAAATATTATCGATGCTATTGCTAGTCAAGTAATGATTTTGTTAAAGGAAAAGAATTTACAACTTCTCCATGATATCCCTGATCAAATCAAAACTCTCTGTTTATGTGGGGATCGCATTAAGCTGCAATTGGCGTTGTCAGATTTCTTGCTCAGCGTAGTGCATTATGCACCTTCTCCAAATGGTTGGGTGGAAATTAAGGTCTCTTGTGGATTAGAGATGACACAAGACGAGAATGATTTTGTTCATCTACAATTTAGGTATTGTATACCTGAATATTTGGCTTACTGGGTGTTTTCTTTCTTCTCGCTTAAGGCTCTATATTTGCCCGGAATTTCCTTTTACTATAAATGCATGTATATATCATAGCTACAAGTAGTATCAATATTGTTTGAATAAATCCAGGACCTAATATCTTAATATGCAAAATAAACATCAGAATTTTGTGAAAGATTTTGATGTACTTGCTACTCTGTAAAGTCACCATCCGAAAATAGTTCTTATCAATTTTTTTACTGCATTTGACACTATATTCTCTTTTCCATTTCTGTAGAATGGCTCACCCAGGAAAGGGCATTCCTCGTACTCTTATTGAAGACATGCACGGAGCAAAAAGTGAATGGACAACACAAGAAGGGATTGCTTTAAACGTTTCTCAGAAACTTCTCAATACAATGAATGGAAATGTTCGTTATATCAGAGATCAGAATAAATGCTACTTCCTCATTGATCTTGAATTCAAGTTACAGAAATCGAGATAAGGGGTTAGACCTTGAATTCAAGCGGCTGATGCATTTTATCTCATAGTTCGAGTATAGTTTCATGAAGCTTTCTGTGGTTATTCCTGGTCGCTTCTGAAGCCATTCCTGCTAATCTTTCCTTCTCCTTGCCAATGGCTGATGTGATGCAGTGCACCTTCTAATTGTTGAAGAGTTGCGAGTGATTATGTATATATTGTTCTCTCTTTGCAAGTATATATATGATGAAGAAAGAGCATTATGATTATTGTATATTTGTTGGTAATCGAATTGAACAGGGCCAGACCCGGTTCTGGGCCGAGGCGGATGAGGCCAGCGCCTCGGGCCCAG